GAGCATGGTGAAGCCGCGAGACGCGAGACTCGTATCTCGCGTCTTCACCGCTCCACGCTCTCAAAGTTGGGCAAAGACAAGACACGTTATTTCCGGTGCGATACAAGAAGTTCAATGGTTATCTCGATTATCTAAACACATTTATTTAGGTGGTAAAGATTTGTTTTTAAATCTATGAACTGATGCTAGTCCTATTTGGAACGAAATGTAATTGAAATAAAAAAGAATTCTTAGTGAAACAAAAGTTGTCTGCAACACGAAGCATGCCTTCGCATTAAGACTGAGAATCCTAATGTTTATCATGATACTTTAATGCATATGTTCGAATGTTCCCGAAAATCTTCTGATAATCTGCCCGCACCCACCCCTCACCCCGCCCCTCGCCACTGAACCGTACTGTTTTCACTCAGCAGCTGGTCAGCGGTCACGTTTATGAGGTAAACAAACCGATCGATTCTTGATCACCGTTCTTGTCGATCGGAAAATCAAAATACCAGCGTGATATTGCTGCGAAGATGAAGCAGTTATGTTATTTGATTCGTACTTCACATTCGAGTCCAAGCTTGGGTGGCACAGGTTATTTCTTGCAGTGGAATCGACGAGGGGAATTCAGAAAGTTGTAGTTGTTGAATTGTTGGAATAAATGGTCGCATGGGGATGGTAAGTTTAACGAACAATTTCAAATTTTGTCGCTTGAATTGAAAGTAGAGTTCATTTGAATTGCTTTCGTATATATTTCTGACGGTTTTAGATTTACCTGCTTGATTTATATCGGTTACGCTTCATGTTTAGAAGTCCCTCAAAATGGCGGCCAAACTTGGAGATTGCCGAAAATTAGGTAAGTTCACGGAGTTATAAAGTTCTCGTAAAGGTCGGGCCACAAAGTTTTTTTCTGTGGCTATCTTTTCTATGGCACCTACTTGCTAGCTATGTTAGTTGGATCAGTTAAGAACGCCTCACTTTTTCAAAACTTCACCATGAATTTGATCGGTTTTGGCGTGTTTGATTTAGGCGAACCGATAAGGTGTCATTCAAGTCTCCCTGTTTCTCTGATTGACACGTGATGTTTACAAACGTCGCCTCGATAGATAAGATAGAGTTAATACACATGGCTGTGGTATTTGTTTTTTGCTGAGTTCCGTAGTTTTTTGTAAATTGTCCTCCAAAGTTGTATGAAATTAAAGTCTTGAAAAGTGTCACGACAAGCCTTCGCTCGAGTGAAATTTAATTTCCGTAAAACTCTGAAAAATAAAGAGATCCGATCAAACTGACTGTGGTTTTAGTATAGGTACATGAATGTCTTACAACACACAAGAAACAAGCGAAATCCGTATCTCAAGCAAAATCGACCGGACCACTCTTCCAGAGACACTCTCTTAAATTTAAATAAGATATTGTGCCAGTTTGGCCATTGGCCGCAAATACTCGTATGGTTGAGTAAGTGTTGGAATAAACTTGGAACAAAAGCACTAGCTCAGCTTAACCAAGGCGAAATATTTCAAGTCTCCGTAGTTAGAGCGGCACGTGAATCGTTTTCTTGAATGTAGCATTTTTATGATTGAGGAATCATTGCGGTATCAGGAAGTAGACCTCATCACAAGAAAATCCGGCCGAGAAACTGAACCATATTTCAACTATCGTCAGCGACATTTTCATTTCCACAAAAAAGATAAGCTCATGGTATGATCAAATTACATCAGACAAATGAAGCTTACATCACTTAAAATGGGTTTAAAATAGCATAAAATGTGGCCGTGCAGTGTTCAAATGACACAGATTTATCAACACAGGTAACAAAACGACTCTCACGAAAACAGAAAAAACCGCGCAAACCATGCACAGGGCAGCGATCTCTAGCCATTTGGTCGTTAGCTGAGACGACAGACATTTTCATTTAAGATACTTAAAAAGAAATTCATTGGAAATAACAGATAGTGACCTACCTAGAGTCTCTTGACAATAGACAACCAACAGCAGTCCACCATCGATGGTGTAGCAAAGATCATTCGTAATTCTGTCGCGACTTATGACTCATCCGAGAAAGAATTTTGATTTTATGATTAGATCTCAGACTCTTCACGGGCATCTGCAATTTATATGTGATGGATCTGATAGAAAACAAGACAACGCGTGAGAAGACATTTTAAGCTCGAGTGGAGTGACAACTGTAAAAAGTCCGCCTCTCTGCGCAAGCGCTAGACAGTAATTGATAAAAGAGACGGATCCCAGTGAATTGAAGTCCAGACTTTGTACTAGCTTTGACCAAACACAAACAATCACGTCCACTCTGACTCGATTTGTTATTACACTCTATAATAAAATTCCTTTGTAAGCAAAGCTTGAATTTTTGACAATAGCAAGTTAGCTAAGTGGAGTCTGCGGTGAAGAAAAGAGATATAAGCGATCCTCGTAGCTATGAACACAACTGAACCGGTAGTTGAGAAATGAGACCTGAAAAAAATTAAGGCCCGTAGGGATTTGAACCCCTGACCCCTGCGAT